CCCCCCACTTTGGGAACCACTGGTCTAAACAGAGGTAGCCTATCACGAGGTGTGAACTGAATAAATCACAACACGATCAGAATATTTGGACATATTTTTCCTGCTGTATATAATTATGATGAGGGCCGACGCTGACACTGCTGTTTCATTGGCCAAATATCAGTTTCTATTGAACAAAAACAAGTAGGAATTTTTTATGAGCCAATAAAAGCATTTTAATAATTGTGTACCAGTAGTGGCCCCCAGACCAGGAGTTTGGCTCCACTGTTGTGATGGTCTTGCTTCACAGACCTGAGCTGAGGTGAAGCATCAGCTCAGACTTGTTTGGTCCTGTAGCGTCTTATTAGTGCGTAGTAAAAACGGTTCTGTTTGTATTAGAATCATTTTGTCTGGATGTGAAGATGAAGTCACAGTTGTGTTGTTTTGTCAAGGACCTTGTGCTGTGGTGAAAAAGAAGAGGTTGTTGTTCTTTGAGTATCATCAGGTGAACGCTGGTCTGCAGTAACGGCCGAGACACAGAGAGGATTATTGTGCAACGATGTCACGACTCTTCAAAGCTGTTACGTTTAAACAAAAACCATTATTGCTCTGATTATATTTGACCTGCGACTCTTTTTATATTCATATTTCTGTGCATGGACATACGTTATACTTTATATTTAGGTTTAGTAGTTTATTTGTTGCCACTGTAGTAAAGTGTACTTTATTATTGAAGGAAGTGAAGGAGAACGTCACGTTCACTGTTGATTCAGTGTCATTGATCCAGAGTGGACGAGTTTGAAATAAATGTGACGTCAGTGTTGACTAAAATAGTCAGGTTCTAATTTTGTCCACAATGAATCAGTTCTCCTCCAACACTGTGTACAAATATGTGCTCTGTAAAAAAAAAGACTGGAACTGTGTGTCAGGAAAGATGGTGTTGAAGTTTTCTTCACGTCACCAGTGATTACTTCTTTAGATCAGAGTGTTGACCACTTCCTCTGGACACACACACACACACACACACACACTTTCCCCGCTCTCTGTGTCGTGCCATCGTGCCGTGTTCAGCTGTGTGTTGTGATGCGTGGTCTAGTTGGTTCACGTGTGTTGTCTGCTCACTCTCACTAACGTCACTCCCACTCCCACTCCCACTCCTGCCTCTGTCCTGTATGAACCCTGTGTCTAGACACAGTCTGGGCTGAGGCTGAGACTCCGACACGACCACTGTAATTAAGGCACCTGTAAAATAATACTCTGGAATAATTGTCTCCAAGTTTCCAGAGAAGTTGACTGACGTGTGGTGAACGTCTCTGGTCTGTAACTGGACGATGAACCTGAGAGATCAGTGGATCAGTGGATCGGTGGATCAGTGGAGTCAGGTGAACAAGACGTCATATTTAAAAAACATACATCTTCTACAGTGGGTTTAAAGCAGTGGTGGCAGCAGCAGCACACCCCCCCCCGCCGACCCCCCTCCCCTCTCACGGACC